CTTTATACCACTACACATTGTACATGTATGAAAAAGTGGAACACAGAATCCAAAACACACATGAGAATAGTTAATACATTGCTTAGATGACTTGTTTGGCAGGAGAAAAAGTTCTATTGAATCTAACAGAAAAAAAAAACGGTCAATGAAAGACGCATCTGCTTCCTGACAGATGTCAATGATCAGGTAGGGGACATATCACTTTTCCAATACCCTACACATTTAAATCTCTTTTATAATGTAAGATACTTAAAAATATTATCAGAAAAATAAAAAATTCAATCTCAAGGAAAATCTCAAGTGCGATGGATGATGAAATCCCAAGTATCCTTCCATTTCAGATCCATAACTTGTTGAGCCGATAGTGGAGTTCTTCCATAGCTGAAAACACTGAAGTTCCAGAACACAAACAATGCACCAAGCAACCATGCAAATATACTGATGTAAAACAATCTTCTTAACATTCTTGACTTGACAGTATAGCTAAAATATATCAAAATAGCTCATAAAAGATATTTGAGGTAGTATGATTTCATTAAAAAAAAGATAAAAAAATTACAACTATTCATAGTGAAAAAAAATATATATATAGTTGTAGATGAAAACAAATATGCAGGATTTTTTCGTTGATTTAAAACGCTAAACATAACTTAACCAAATCAATTATCCATGAACAGTAACTACATTAATTGGCATCATGTAAACTAACTGATTGATCAACTGGCATGAAAATAATGGATTTAATTAAAATTAAACTAACTGATTGATCAACTGGCATGAAAATAATCATTTAATTAAAATTAAACTAACTGATTGATCAACTGGCATGAAAGTAATCACTTAATTAAAATTAAACTAACTGACTGATCAACTGGCACAAAAATAATCATTTAATTAAACTAACTGATTGATCAACTGGCATGAAAATAATCATTTAATTAAAATTAAACTAACTGATTGATCAACTGGCATGAAAATAATCATTTAATTAAAATTAAACTAACTGATTGATCAACTGGCATGAAAATAATCATTTAATTAAAATTAGTGTTTCGATTATTACTATTTTTGGTTATTACAACTATCTAAGTAATTGAAATATTGCCATTATGTTTGTTTGTTGTTGAACACAAAGCTACATAATGAGTTATCTGTGCTCTGCCCACCACAAGTATTGAAACCCAGTTTTAGCATTATAAGTTTTTTTTTTCAAATTTGTTCAACTTTGGGCATGCATGGCTTGGTGATTCAGGTGGAAAGGGAGGTTTGCCTCATCATTTGAGGGTCGAGCATTTAATTCCCATTGCCACCAAAACCTTTCCATCCTGTCTCTGGTATGACAAAAACTACTAAGGCTATCTGCCACTGTCGCTAATTTTTAACTGGTTGACGGCACTCACTACCAACTCTTGGTGTTTTTTTTCACATATTGGGGAACTCGTACCATGGTTTAGCGAAAACTGTACTAATCAAGTAATTCATTAATAAGCTCATCAATTAAATCAATTAGCAAATACCCAGTTCTATTATCCAGTAGGTATTTTTTTTAATACATTAATTGTCTTTCACATATCACTGCCAAAAAATAAGCTTTGTTCCATTCCAGTTGTTTACAATATAGTATGGATAAAACAAACTTCTTTATTGGATTTACACAATCTTTAACACTAATTAGCTACAAACACTAAATGACTGCAAGCTCACAATAATTATTGGTGGGTACTTGAGTTGATTGGAATGCTGAATACAGTATTATTTTTAGCTGTATAACCTTAGTTAAAACATTTCATGTATAACATATCCCTGCGGAACACCTTTTGTAAATAAGCAACTATTAAATATCATTTTTACTTTTGTTCAATTAATACTGCTGCATTTATATTCTTACTAGCCAATTTTTCCATTCAACACATGAGGAAAACTCATAGGCCTCCAGGAGGGTGGGGTAACACAAAGGGGACAAATCCAACCAAACTACTATGCAGGTGCATACAGAGTTAAGTGAAGATAAAAAGAAAAGTTTCGATATGAAAACAGGCAGACAGACAACACTTATGCTTGAGTATGTTATATTAAAACAATTTTGGAACCTCACCACATTGTTACTGTCTATGTCGTCATGATGTCCAGTCATGCCCTATTTGACAACTTGCATTTTTACAATAGCCCTTTTTACAATTTTCCATTTAAAAAGGTCCATTTATAGGGCTGACATGTTCAAAGTGCATCACTCCTCTCTGCTTGCTTTCCATAATCCATTTAGTTTCCCAGCACCTTTTTCCACAGTCTATCTTCATGCATATCTACAAGCACTACATCCAGCAACTTGATCACTGTGTCTTTGTATGGATTAGTGTGAATACCCTTTTCATTCTCTATCTGCTTCAGGTATGTAATGATTCAATGGATATGCTGCAGAAGCAACTTGTGTACACACAACATTGTATCTGTAGATTCTCACCTATTAAAAGGTATTGCATTTCGTTTATTACAGCTTATTGCAGGTCTCTTACTGGATGATATTGGTACTTCAAGTTGATCTATATTTATGTGTTTTTTAATGTCATTAAGTAAAAAATATATCTTGTCTTAGAAATTCTAAATATTTGATCTCAACATATCTTTATGGCCTGAGTGTATGAATGTTTGATGGCATCACACTACCAACAAAACACTAAACAATGTCAAACTGTAGTTCTAAGACATTCCATCATGACTTTATATCGTCTGTGTTTGCCATGTGACTTGCTGATCTGTATATTCAAAATCATTTAAATATAACACACTCAACCCTCTGTAGAATGGTAAACAAGTTAAATATTCCATTCACTTACTTGAACAAGAAAATCACATGTTCAATAAGCCCAACCAACAATAACAGCTTGTACAAAAATGCTGGAAGGTAATGATGCAGAAAGAGCGTACGATCCGCAAAGAAATAGGGCAGGAAGTGAAGAAGATAACCAATCAGAAATAGCTTCCCAATTACACAGAATTTTTCCCAAGTATCTGAAAGATTAAAAATATTTCAGTAATATTCTATGTATTAACACTATCAGACATTTAGTTTCGACTCATAAAAAGATATGATAAATAATTGCACGAAAACGTATTTATTTATTCATTGAAAAAAAATATATTCGGTTAGTTTATATATATTTCCTTAGTAAAAATTTTAAGAGACAATTGTTTTGTAAGTATCAAGAAAAATAATGAGCAAGTAATTATTTTAATACAATTCCCACAATAAATAGTGGTGATTACAAAGTATGTAATTATGTAAAAAAAAATTAAAAAAAATTCAAACTTCTTGAGTATGACCTTACCAAAAAAAGAAATTTCATCAAAAAGTTTAAGTATGAAATTTATAACAAATCTTTGTGGAAAGGATATATATATATATATACATATTTTAAGTATGATCAAGACAAGTTCAAACCTTCAGGGATGTCATAACATGCCCGGCGACGTCTAAGTATGTAGAAGAGAAAAATTGCCAGGTATACGAACATTCCCACTGTTGCCGAATACCATATCACTACATTTCCTATAAGATGAATCTGTGCCTTTTGGAGGAGGAAGAGAAACATTATATATATACACATATAAAACACACTTTATTTGAAGAATTTACTATTTATGAGACAAGCCTAGAGAGGACTAAATTTAGCCTACCATGTAGATCAATACTAAACTGATTAAGCTAATTAGACCATAACAGTATACCTACTAAACTTATTACACTAATTAGACCATAAAAATTCACCAGTACTAAACTGATTAAGCTACTTAGATCATGACAGTGTACCTACTAAACTGATTACACTAATTAGACCACAAAAATTCACCAGTACTAAACTGATTAAGCTACTTAGATCATGACAGTATACCTACTAAACTGATTATGCTAATTAGACCATGAGAATTCATCAGTACTAAACAGATTAAGCTACTTATATCATGACAGTATACCTACTAAATTTATTAAGCTAATTAGACCATGGAAATTCATCAGTACTAAACTGATTAAGCTACTTAGATCATGACAGTATACCTACTAAACTGATTAAGCTACTTAGATTATGACTGTATACCTACTAAACTGCTTAAACTAAATAAACTGTGATACCAATTAGATAATTATTAGCATAATAACAATTATATAATGAACTTAATTGGTTTAGTACTGACTTATGCTAAACTAAGTCAAGTCTGTAGGCTTAACTCATAAAAATCATAAATTCTTGTCAGTTATATAAATGTAAATAAACAGGATGTCCAGAAATTATGTTTTAGAAACAGTGACCTTGAACCTTTACCATAATGGCTGCTAGGGTTGTATTACAACAATGAAGGTATATCGCAGTATGCAAGAAATATCACGGCAGCACTACAGAAGCTGAAAAAAGTTTCAGTATATCCAAAAACTAAATGTTAGTAAATTTTCAACATATATTCTGGACACCCTATAACATATATACACATAGTGAATACTATGGCAAAAATATTGTATGTTTTACATAACTGCACCAGTCTGAAGACATAAAAGGACCTTCTAATACAACAATGAGCACAGTACATTTTAGATTTTAAAACTAACATTTATATAAATATCAGTAACTGTTGTTGTTTTAGCAAAAATGTACCCAATGAGCTATCTGCATTTTGTTCACCATGGGGAAATGGACCCTGATTTTTGGGCTCTAAGTCTATAAACCTACCGCTGACCCACTTGGATATATAAACATTAATTTGCACTCTTGTTATGTAAAGAGGAAACATTTTTGTGCCAAAATATATCAGTATACCTGGAATTCTATGTCCATAAATTATGATAATTAGTAATAATTTCAAACCTATTAAATTACTCAATACATTACTCAATTCATGTTAAACTCACATGACAAATATAACGTGGAGAACTTTCTTCTAAATACGTATTATGTTTATCAGATGCTGAAGAATATAAATTAAAGGAAATTAATGTATTCTGTAAGTTAGAAACAGTCAGAAGCTAAAACATCATAAGGTTAAAAAACCTAGCATGCTTTAAAGCAACTTACATTGCTGTGTGGGCTAATCCAATAGGCAATACCCCGGCTAAGGAAGGGCCACTCCATTGGCTCACTGCTATACATATGATCTTGAACATTTTCTTGGTTAACTGTTAACATTTTAACCTGAAATAAAACGTTATACAACTCCGAAGTATTAAGAACTGTATTCGACTGATAGAAAACTAATTATAAAGAATATGTACCAAGGCATTCTACAAAAGAAAAACAATTAGTTAATAAAGGTCTAATGGCACAGACAACCAAAATTATTACAGTATACAGGGCTTGACCTTAACTTTTGAAGGCACTAGTGAATGGTTGCTAGCTATTATATTTCTCACTGGAAGATTCAGGACTGCTACTAAAAACAACATTATTTTTTCTATAACTGTGTCATTATTAACTATTTTATTAACATTTATTAGAATATTTAAAAAAAGGAAACATGACACAGAAGATTTATTACACATAAATTAGATACGTATGTGTAATAAATCTT